TGCTACTGTCAGGGATCTGACTGCAAGATCTACAAACTCTTCCATCACTACCTCAGGGTCTGCTATTTTCTGTTCAAGATCAGGTCTGACAAGATGAACCTTGGATAAGATGTCCAGAAGAAAAGCAAAGTTAATGAGAAAGAGTTTTGAGGAGCTAGGAGGGGGCTTCAGGCCCTGACTTGGGAGCTGCATCAGAGCTCTGGGCTACGCTTGGACCAGGCTGTGAGCTGGGATGGCCTTGCATCACTGCCATGACCTCCTTCAGCTTGGCCTCCTCTGGCCCCAGCCCAGCACGCCTGCTCCTCTCCTCTTGCCAGGGACTGGGAGGCTGCACCTGAGTGCAACTCCAGCTCCCCAAACCCTGCCCCCCTGCCCAACACCCTGATCTGCTGCTCTCTGAGGACTTACAAGTGACTACCCCATTTGGGATTCTGTCTACATAACAGCTTTCCAAAGATGAACACTTTTAAATAAAGGTATTTCTTCTCATTCCTCCTCAAAATCTTCCTTATTGCTATATCTTTTTAGTTGTATCACTTGATCAGAAATTAAGTCTGGAGTCCTTGAAAGTGTTATTTGATAGAAAGGAGCTGGGCAGAGTCCAAGCAGTTGACTACACAGGCCCAGCCCAAGGATCAGTGAAGTTTTATTCGTAAAATTAGTATTATTCATAAAATTAATTGGTAGCACGGCCTTTTGAAAAGCTTTGGCACAAGTCAGATACTATTTTTCCATATATTTTAGGGATTAAAATGGATTAGGAATAATACCTAAAAGGTAGTTTGGATACAGTTATTTGGTTTTGGAGTTCAGAACATTCAAACAGACAATTAATTATGTGGTTATACTGTACCTCGGGGCCGAAAAACACATCCTGGACAATTCTACTTACAAGTGACCCTGTGAATGCAAGAATCACGAAGTCACCAGAAGCCAGTAGAAGAGCAGAAAAGAGGCAACAGAACAACTGTGACCACAGTTATCTTGAGTTTCACATTTTTTATTTCACCATCACTGCATAAAAATGGCAAAAGCTGTCCAAGGCTGAAGGGCCAAAATCTGGAAAGGACCACAGTGGGTCATCTGGTCCAACCTCCCTGCTCAAGCAGGGTTATCCCAGAGCACATAGCACAGGCTTGTGTGCAGACAGTTCTTGGACATCTCCAGTGAGGGAGACTCCACAGCCTCTCTGGGAAATCTGTTCCAGTGTCTACTCACCAGCACAGTAAAGAATTTCTTCCTCATGTTCAGGTGGAACTTCCTGCGCATCAGTTTCTGCCCTTGCCTCTTGTCCTATTGCCTGGCACCACCAAGCAGAGGCTGCTCCATCCCCTTGACATCCTCCCTTCAGATACTGATAGACACTGATGAAGTCTCCCTGAGTAACCCCAAGGCTGAACTGGCCCAGCTCCCTCAGCCCATCCAAAACCTCAGAACTCTCTCAGACTAGTTAGATATGGAAACTGTATTTAGTTTCTACCAAGTGTAGAGTTCCTGAAATAGATAAGAGCTTTTGGGCCTCTGAGATTCAATGTTAACAGGATTGTAATGGACAGATTTCTACAATCTAAAGTTCAGAACAGATAGGAAAGTTTCGACCCTTATCATCAATTTTTTTATCTCTGGCTGTTTTTTGAAACATGTGTTCCTAAATTTTTCTGCACAAATGTTCTCCACTCATTAAAATCAACGGTGGTTGTAGCTCCACTTTTAGCAACAGGGGTCCAAGGCTCCAAAGCTCAGTGCAAGGCAGGATGAAAAGAACATTTAAAAAATAAGGTTTAAAAAATAAGCTACTGATTATCTATTTTGCCACATATACAAGGGTTTTCGCTGTATTAAATTAAATATAAATGCAACAGTTACAAAATGCCAAGTATGGAAAAAGGCACAAAAAGAAAATAGCAATGGAAAAATATAAATTCACTCTCTCAGAGTAGACCAGGACAGAGCCAGAGATGATGATGTTATCGGGTTTCCTTCTAGGAGGATTGTAAATTCCCATGTCCTGGTGCAAGGAGAGATTATGACCCAAATTAATGAGGCTGAAGCTGGTCAATGGGAGTGTGAACAGAGTGGTGCTGCACTGCCAATGCCACCATCTAAGAGCAGCCAAGCCTGCACTCACTGCTTTGCTAAGGAAGCACTCAGAAGTTAAACATCTAAAGCAGATAATAAATTCATTAATCAAATTAGCTCAGACAAAAGAGGCATCTCCAGCAGTGTCCTTTAATCACAGTTATATAAAAGTTTTGGGGCTTGCTGGTTGATAGGATTTTTTTGTATGTGTTTTCTTTTTTTAAATCAACTTCTTGACACTATCATAAAACTGTGACTGAAGAGAAACTGAGGGAAAATTTCTTCCTGAGGGGTAGTGGTAGAGCACAAAGCGCTGATGAGACAGTGTACAGAAAGAAAACAGAAATGAAACAAAGAAATGGGTGCTGGAAGTGTGTTGAATAGAGGTCATGAAGAGAGGTGAATTGTAAGGGATTGTGAGTGCTTCAACAAGAGACAGAATACTCTCATTGAGCAGACTTGCAAAACCACAGGGGATTGCCAAAAAAAAGGTTAAAATTTGGCAGGAGATACTCCTCCTATTTTGAAGATCAGAGCCTTTCCTATACCCAGACTCCATCCTTCTGCACCTGCAGTTTGCTGAAGCAGTCTGTTCTCCACTGTTTTGCATGGAAAGGATGAAATAATGTTTTGTTTGTTTAGAACTATCTAAAAATTACTCCACATAGCCTTGATGATTGGCAAACGTGGGAAGTGTGAACTGTGCGAGTGCAACCTAAAAAGATGCAGACTTTAAACGGGAAAAATGTAAAGTGTTTAGAAAACAGAAACTGTCGATCAAGGTCTACAGAAAATGGCTTTCAACTTGGACTAGCTTTAAAAATGAAACACATTAACAGTTATTTTAAAAAAATCAAAATATTTAAACACTGTTTTACAGCCTTAGCTCTAAACCTATTAGAGTGTCCTCATAATTTAATTTAAAATGTTGCAGTTGGTGAAGGTCATGCTGTAAAAGAACATACAATTTCTGACAATCATTAGAAATGTATTTACAAATTCTAGAGACAAATAACATTAGAAATGTATTTACACAATTCTAGAGACAAATAACATCCATCTGCTATGTTTAGTCCTCTGAAACTTTAAAAAGCATGTATTAGAAAACAATCTTCATTTTTAATTTATTTTTTTTTCAAATTTTCCTTCTGATTCTGCAGACCATGAATGCTGCATCCTTAACTGCTGCAAGTCAGCTTAATTCCTGTGAGTCTCAGGCTACAACCCCTGAGTTTATGAAACATGGGAAGTCTGTAATGATCAATAGATTAGTATAACTGCCACAGTGAAAAAATAACTGATGTCAATCTTTGAATTTCACTAAACACATCTTTTTTTTTCTCCTCCATTTATGATGGGATGTCTTTGCATATGTTAAAAAAAATAATGAGAACAAAAAAATGCCATTCTAGAAAGACAGCTATATTAATATTCAAATGGAAAAAGAAAAGGATAATTCAAACATTTTTATCTAAAAATTTCAGCATTTGATCCAAATGAACACAGGTATACAGCTTGAACCTCAAAAAACTGAAATTCACTATTTTTAAGGACCAATGTCTCTCTATAATGAGAATAAAGTTATGGCATTATTGTTCTCAGTTTACTAAACCTGAAGACTGACTGGGAAAAGGACAGCAGCAAAGAGAGATATTATCCATAAACACTGAAAGCAAAAATACTTATGGCTAGATGACAAAACTATTTTCACTGCAAAGAAATGAGTAGATTTACTTCCAGCTAAAAATGGTACTTTAATATGATTCACATCTGAACCAAAGAATGCCATTAGATTTTTTTTTCATGTCTTAAATATTTAAATTCTCACTTCTCAAAAGTTCACACAGTTATGTAGCAAGACTAAGAACACAGAAGGACCAGGTTACAATCCCATCATTGACTCGGCCTCACAAGGGGAAGAGTGGTCAAATGAACAAATAATTTCTGAGTTCTATTTCCATAATATGCTAAATTAGGTACAAAAGTGTCTATTGTTAGTAGCTACTCCAGATGACGGATTTTTAGATTTTATACATTTTTGGAAGAAGTGGACTGCTACTGCCAGACAGACTCATCTTTTTACTTAAGACATCTAGGCTGACATGCTATCTGAGGACAACCCACAACTACTACTTTGTCCAGATGTGGATAGAGTCATCTCACCTACTGCCAAACATCAAGCATTCCAAATTCACATCTAGGAAACGGCAAGAGACAGGCACTTCCTTAAGGCACTTCATGCCGTCCTAAAATTGGAGGTGTAACAGGCGAGAGGAACAGCCCTCTGCAAATGCCTCTCTCCTCAGCAAAAGGAAGCCCAGGATATCAGCTCAGACCGCAGAGGTGCAACTTGGGCTGGCTGAAGTGAGGTGAGGGGCACCCACTTCCAGCCTCGAGGGACAGAGCAACTCTTGGCCACGCGCGTCCCTCCTGGGCAGGTTGGTTTGGTAGAAAATACTCTCTATTTTTCTTTTTTCTTTTTAATTTATTTTTATTTCTTTCTTTTTCACTGCTGTCCAATGCAGCGGCTTCTCGGGGTGGGCACGATCGTCAACCTCCTTTCCCCGGGACGCACCGCCTGCCGCAGCCCCGGGGTCGGCCGGAGCAGCCCGGGGATCAGGGCAGCCTGGGGGTCGGGGCTGGGAGCTCCCCCGGGGGTCGGGGCTCGGCGGGGGCAGCCAGGGGGTGCGGGCCCGGAGCGTCGGCAGCAGCGGGGCCCGGGCGGGCAGAGCCGCGGCCCAGCCCCGCCGCCGCCGGGCGCGGCCAATGAGCGCGGCCGGGGCGGGCTCGGGAGCGGCGCCTCCGCTACTTATCCTCGCCGGAGGGGCCGGGCAGCCCAGAGCGGCGCGGGCGGAGGAGCCGGGTGGCGGCGGCGAGCACGGGTGGCGCTTCCTCTGCGGCGCCCATGGGGACAGGACGACTTTAAAGGAGTTTGGGGGGGTTCTGGCGCTGGGCGACCACGGGTACGGAAGGGGACGGGAGGGACCCCTCGGGCAGGGGGTGCCGATTGCCTGCTTTTTGCCTGTGCCTTGCGGGGTCCCGGCCGGACTGCCGGCACCGGGCTGGCAGCTCCGGGGCCGTGCGCTCCTCCTGCCACCTCCCCGCACCAGCGCTGCCCGGCTGCACACCGCTGGAGGGAGGGCTCGGGACCCTCCGGCCGGAGCCTCCCCGAGCCCCCGGAGCCCTCTCCCCTCGCAGAGCGGAGACTCCCGGTGCAACTCCGTCCCCCCGCGCGGAGGCGGCGGGCGGCGGGGAGGCTCCTCTCCTGGCGCTCGGAGCCGCCGCTCCGGAGTCGGGGCTCTGCCCTGCCCCGCACCCCGGGGATAGGGGGAAGGGTCCGCACTGGGAGTTTCTCCCTTGTACGAAGGGGAGGGAAGGAGTCGGGGAGGGATGGGGTCTTAGGGCGGAATCGCTGAAATCTTTTGTATGTGCCTTGATTTATTTTTTTTTTCTTTCGTTCTTTCTTTCCTTTCCTCTGCGTGCACTCTCCTTCCCATCTCTTGTTCTTCTCTGTGTCTGCCCACCCCACCCTCCTTTAGATCCGGCGATTTCTGCCCTCGCCTCGCCCTGTCATTGATGGGAAATCAACTGGATCGCATCACCCACCTGAATTACAGCGAGCTGCCGACCGGGGACCCCTCGGGGATCGAGAAGGACGAGCTGCGCGTCGGGGTGGCTTACTTCTTTTCGGATGAGGAGGAGGACCTGGACGAGCGAGGCCAGCCAGACAAGTACGGCGTGAAGGGCTCCGGCAGCCCTGGGCAGGAGACGCCCACCCACCACCTCCACCACCAGCTGGTGCTGAACGAGACTCAGTTCTCCGCTTTCCGCGGCCAGGAATGCATCTTCTCCAAGGTCAGCAGCGGCCCCCAGGCTGGGGACCTCAGTGTCTACTCGGTGTCAGCCCTGCCAGCCCTCTGCAAGCCGGGGGACCTGCTGGAGCTGCTCTACCTGGGGCCGTCGGAGCACCCGCCGCCGCACTGGGCCGTGTACGTGGGCGGCGGGCAGATCATCCACCTGCACCAGGGGCAGATCCGCCAGGACAGCTTGTACGAGGCGGCCGCGGGCAACGTGGGCCGGGTGGTGAATAGCTGGTACCGCTTCCGCCCGCTGGTGGCGGAGCTGGTGGTGCAGAACGCCTGCGGGCACCTGGGCTTAAAAAGCGACGAGATCTGCTGGACTAACTCCGAGAGCTTCGCCGCCTGGTGCCGCTTCGGGAAACGGGAGTTCAAAGCCGGGGGGGAGCTGCAGGCGGCTGCTGGCACCCAGCACCAGCAGCAGTACTATCTCAAAATCCACTTGGCAGAGAACAAGGTGCATACGGCGAGGTTCCACAGCCTGGAGGATCTAATACGCGAGAAGCGCCGGATCGATGCCAGTGGCAAACTGAGGGTGATCAAGGACCTGGCTATAGTGGATGGGAAAGAATAGGGAGGAGCAGGAGTACGTGGCTATCTTCCTTCTGCCCTGCCCGGGGAGACCAGCCTGCCGTTGAGTCAGGAGGCTGCACCCTCCTTCCGTGGGACGCGACTGGAAGCAGGATCCATGGCAACATTCCAAAAAAAACCAGCATTCTTTACACCCATAGCCAGTATTTTGTTTGGCTTTTAATAGCATTAATGCTGAAAGAGCGAGAGAGAGGAAGAAAAGAGGGGGGAGGTGCAGGAAGGCTGTTCTCAGAGTATGTGGACAAAGTCTCTCCTGTCAATCAATGTTGACCATTCTAGCAACATGCCAATAAAATTTCAAATTGAAATTTCTTTTTAAATTTTTATTTCATGGCTTTAATCCATGATAAGTTTTAAGCATCTGGGACTGTGGATGTGGAAGTAGCTGAATAAGATTTTAGCTAATATATTTGCCTTGTGGCCAACCAAAAGCATCAGTCATACTTTTCTAACTGGGTGAGGAAGGGGGTGTTGGGGTGGAGGGTAAATGCCTGTTTGTTTTGTTTCTTCACACTGCTGCTTCAGTCTGTAGCCGCAACCCAGTTTTTGTCCCAACCAACTCTGGCAAGCAATTTACTAGGAAAAAATACTTTCAGATTTCTGCTTGAAATCTCTCGCATTTAAAATATTTGCCTTTGCTTTCTGTTTGCAGCTCTCTGCTAAATATCATCATAATGCATGAGCTCTTTCCACCTCTTCCTTCCTCCCACCCTCCCTGCCTTTTTTTTTTTCTTTTTTAAATTAAAAAAAAAAAGTTGGTGAGCAGCTGTTTTCCGAAAACTAAATTCAATGGTTAAAAGGAAGTGGTGTATTTTGGAGAACAGTAGACTCAGAGATCCAGACACTAGGATTTTGTGCTTGAGCTGTGGGTTTTGTACCACTGCTTCGATATCTGTTCATATACAGGTCAATAGAATCCTTTTGAATTCTGCATGTTGCCTCATTGGAACAGCAATTTATTGCGTATTTACAATTCCACTTCAAGAAATAGATGTAATGTGGCCAAGTTCATCTTGCATTTCAAATTCCCAGCAACTAAAAATTCTGTTCAGTGTAAGTTTAGAAAGCCACAGCAGCATTTAAAAGATGCCTTTTGATGTGATGTGAGCAATGCCTTGTCTGTATTTCAGATCCTGTTCACTCATTGCTTAATTCTAAGTTTTGAAGTGAAAGATCAGAGAATTAAATATATTTTAAAAAAATCTAAAGAAGTATACTGGGGCATTTCTTTTTATTATTCTGAGCTGCATATAACTTGTAATTTTGTCTTTGCATGTTTCAGTGCTGAAAAGAAAATGCATTTGGTTTTGTTCTCTCTTCCTACATCAATGTCAGATGACAGAAGTAATAGCCCTCTTTTGTATATATATATATGATACACTCCACCCCCTATCAATGTACTGTGTCCCAACTCTTTTTTTTTTTTTGTATTAAACAATGTAATAAGCAACCTTGTTGCAACAGTAATTTCATTTCTACAAAGCATTTGCCTACTATAGCTGAAGAGGCGAGGGTGGAGTGTACTTCATTATAATAGAAGTGTTAGCATAAATATCTTTAAGAAAAAGCAAACAAAAACCTGTCCCCCCAAAACTGCACCTCTTTGGTGAAGGTCATCTAATGGGCTTTGTCCTTGCTAACACATGTGGCAAAATTATGTGGTAATAGGCATGTTAACTTTTATCATTTCCCCTAAAGTACCTTGCTTAGTACAATATAGGGTAAAAATGTGAATTGTAATTACTCTCAAATACTGTTGAAATAGCCTCAAACCACATTATTCTTTTTAATAAATGTGTAATATTTTAGCTTTATGTAGGCAGTAGTGGCTGTCTGATGATAACTTTGCCCATAACATGAACAGAATCTTCTACCTAGGGTTTGTGTATCTTATTGTGGTACGTTAGATTGCCTAAATCCTCTGTTAGAACTGATTTCCCTGTACCACTTGGTGGGAGCACTGTGGGATTGCAGAAAGGCATTGGGTTTACGAGGCACTTGCAAAACATTAAAAACTGATAGAAGAAGGAAAGGTGGGTAAAAGCAATTAATTTGATTTTTCCCTTATAAAAATATGCATTAGAGACCTGAGGTTGCAAGAGGCAGGGAGAATTAAATGAGGAGGGAATAAGTACCAGAATGTTTATGAATGAACAAGAATAACGTAGAGTTATAGTGTTATTTTTGATTTCTGAAATGCTTTTTCTTCAAATTGCAGTTATATTAATGGGATTAGACAAAGATTCCTTGGAAGATCAGAATTTTATGTCCTTACTAGTGACAATTAAAAACATACTAAATTTAAACTTTTCACTGTGCTTTCGGAATACTCTTTCATTCTAAACCCCATTTTAATGGTAGATTTTTTTGCAATGATTTAGTAACCTGGTTCATTAACGTGATGATTTTCCTTGTTTTACCCAGGTGAATGTAGAATGGTATTTTATAGTATATAAAAGAAATTATAGGAGCGAGTGTATACTTATTTATTCAAGCTCTGTGAGAGACCTTTGGCATCACTCTGAATTTGTGCAAATAAAGGTACAACAGTGTAAGGCCTTAGTCCTTTGCATAAGGACTGCAGAAAATATACTGGAAATAGTAAGAGCTGGTATTGACTGAGGATATAGTATTGTCAAGACTGTGTTCAAGTAGCAGTCTGTAATTAGCAACAAGGGTACCCATACAGGGTTTTTTTTTTTCTTATTTTTCTTTAGCTAGACTTCAGTCCAGAGCTACTGGCAGCAATCTGGTCCTGATTCATAGCCCATTGAAGTTAATGGCTCTTGCTGACCAGTGAACTTTGCATCAGATTGTTAGGAGGTGGTTAAAATTTGTGGAGCTTGAGGAAGAGTGAGATTTAAGATGACACTTCAGAGACCAGAAGAGCCACCTTTCTGAGATGGGAGACCATGGACACAGGCAGCACTGAAAAATGTGGGAAGAAAACAGACAAGTTCTGAAACAAGCAGTGTTAACCTGAGATGGCAGTAGGGAATCTGTAAAAAAGACTGAATGAAAAGTGAATATAAAAAGTTGTTCAGTGCCTTGAAACAAGAATTGGAAGACAGGGAGCAGTCAGCTGCAAGAAAGGCAATGATGCGAATGACTGACAGGTAAAAAATGTAATTGATTGTATTCATCATTCAGGATCAGTGGGCCTGGCAGAGTTAACATTTCCATTTCCAGGACTGAAGATATTGAAAAATTGCATTTTATCTTTGGAATCTGTTTACATTCTTTGGTCTAGCTACCTAGGGTAAATATTTACATCTCATTCATTGCTCTTGAAGTACTGACTTGTAATATGACAGCAATGTCAAGATGTTTTGCAGTCTTTCTTCTGTGTCACATTTCAAGCTTTCCGTTAGCTATTTGAGTAACAGTTCTATAGAATTTCTTTTGCTTAGATATGATTCTCTTCTCAAAATGCAATCTTTTGAATTGCTTTGAGACTTAACATTTTATTAAAAAATTCAATTCATTTCTCTAGAAAGATAGAGAGCCTTTGTGAAATGTTTTCCTGTCATGACCAGAATGTTTACTGCTTGTTGGTTGTGCATACTGAGAGAGGACTCTAAGGATGGGTAGCAAAATAGGTTTTGCTACTGTCAGATTTTGTCTCCATCCTCATCTTATATCACCAGAGGACATTGTTTTCATTTTCTTGGGATTCTTTTTCTCCTTTCAAGTGTTATGGTTGTAAAAAATGGAGAGGAAAAAAAAAAAAAAAAACAACAAACCCAACCTAAACCAAAACCCTCATAGCATGCTGTTTATGGGATATGCTATTGATCCGTATAGTGGATTTAAGGTTAAAAGCAGGGTGCAACAAGACATGGCCTTTGGGGTGTGACAAGAAGTGGCCCTTGGTCTGTGCTAGAATGTGCACTTTTAGTTCTCTTGCCTCATTTTGAGTAAGTGTCTTTCATTTCTTTTCATTGCTTCAGGTAAGTAATGTGCAAAACTGGCGGAGTTTATAGACTCGCTTATGCGATGTGTTGAACGTCTGTAATTCCATCCACGTTTGCTGGAGTTGAGGCAATGCTGCCTCCCACAGAGCATCGTGTGGGATCAGGGGCCTCAGCCTGCCAAGCTCCACACCCTCTCTCTACAGCTGCAGAGGACATAGTGGTCTGGGGAAGCTACTGCTAATTTCAAGATTCAGTTATTTTCTGTGAAAGATTTCTACTAGAGTAGTGTATGGACAGTATCCTGCCCGTAATTATACTTGGATGTGGCTAAAACATTCTATGTGCTGCTGCTTATGGTGTGAAAACACTCTGCTTCCTGCTTTATAACCCAGGAGAAAGATAGAAGTCCCAGTGCCAAAGAAGTAAGCCAGAAATGCTTAAGGAGGTATGATTGGGCTGCAATGCTGAGGGAGTTTCACTGCAGAATTAAGGTCTAAAGGATAACTTTACATGACTAGAGTGTGATCAAGTGCTGCTGTTAGTTGAGTGTCAGTGTTTCCATGGCAAGTGTGGAATTTATTTGCTTGCCTTATTATTATGAAATATTTAACTTTTCTGTCCTATGAGTTCAAATTTAATATGTGAAGCTGCCCTACGTTCATGGATCTTCTGACTCAATATTAGTTTGAGGTGTCAGAATTTTTTACAAGTTTATTGTCAAGAAAATTAATGTGTACTGACTGGGAACAGATACTTTACTGAACTGCTAGTAAATCAAAAAGAGAGTAGTGTAGATGTTAGGCTGAAAAAGGGAATGAACCAAGAATCTTCTGTTACTGGGCATATCCACAGATTTTTTTCCAGATTATATAGATATAATCTATACAGATATAAACTGCCAGTGCTGTAATTTTTCAAAGTGGTTGTGGCATTCTACATTCTCTCTTTTGAAAAATACTATTACCAGTCTAAATAATCCAAATCTCCAGTAAAGTTCTATTTTTTTATATAGAAACTCCATTGAAGTTAACAGTTACTTTGTTCATATTTTCCTTTGAGAAATAAGCTTTTTTTTTTTGTTAAAGGATTTAAAATTGAGCAGCTAGTAATATGCACTTTGATTTCTTAATTTTAAGTATTTTACATCAAGCACAAATGTATATAAGTTGATCTGTCCAGATGAATGATAGAATTTCCATTAGCTGAGTCCATTCAGATTAAGAATGTAGTTGTTTGGGGATTTTTTTCATATTTTAATTATGGAACCTTGGGGCATTTCTGATTCTAGAGATGATGCATGTATGTAAAACTGTTTGCCGGATCAGGAATTTTAAAGTAAAAGATCTCTCCTCTTCATGTGCCATTAACTTTGGACTAAAATCAAGGAGTAGGACTTAGCCAGGATCAAGACCTCAGCAACAACCTCCTATGGAATTTTATGAAAGGCTCATGTGTGTGATGTCTACCATAAGAGCCTTAATTATATTTTCTTACTTGTACATATAGTAATCATCTATGCAAATTGGCATTTTCCTAGGTAAAGTAGGTTAATGCTTTTCAAACATCCCTTGGACTTCTCTCGTGTGTCTTTGTGGGTAGATGTGTTGGGAACAAATCAAAAAGCTGGAGTTTACTGCTGTAGAGCCAATATCTCCAGCTATTTTGACAGGAACTCTGGTGGAATTTGGAACCAGTGTGGCTACAGCAGGAAAGGGTGGAAGAATTTGCAGTTAAGCTTCAGGCTGTTCTAGGAAGATGCTCAGAGCTAAGCTTGAAATTCCATTCTTTCTTTTCTCCAAGGTGCAAGAGGGTGAGTGGCTGTGTACCCCTCACACATAAAACCATTCACACTTTGGAGATCCATGCCACTGCCTAGGCAAAATAGGGTGAGTAAAATATGCAGTGTCTCATCAGCCTTAAGAAGCAAACAAGAAGCAAACAATTTTTCACAGTTTAAATGCTATTTGGATACAGTGTGGCACTGGCAATCCATTTAGAAAAATCCCATTTTTAAGCTGATAAACTAAACAGCATAATGTTTATAAATGGGAAACCTCAATAAGCCCTCTTGTTAATCTCTATACAGCAGAGGTAAGAGCTTTTTCCCAGTTTATGTAAATAAAAGAGTAGCCCCGATTCAAGAAAATTGTCATGGGGTAGAATTTGGAAATAAATTAAACAATCCAACTCCAAGTTTAGTTCTGATGTGACACCATCACTGCTGCAGGTGAATAAATAGCAAATACCTAACAGTGTGAATAAATACCAAGTTCTGTATTGTGACACTTCTTCACAGCAGAGTATTTTATGCCATAGAAGGAATATTCCTTGTATGTTATTCAATATGAGTAAACATACCACAATCTGGTCTTAAAACAGATCTTTTCTTCCATATGTTCCTATTGTTTCCATATGCCCTTTCAGTCAGCTGAAAGCAATATAAAAACTAAGACTGAAAAATATACTAATTGATTGTAAATATTTAGGCAGGAATTTATATGCATATTGACATATAACTAATAGATGTACTTGTATATACATACAGATTTGCATACTGTGTGTTATGCATACACACACTCAACAAGTCTTGACTATTTTGTTAGTATTGGTAACAAATGTCAGTCATTTCAGTATGTCTATTATCTATGTAACAGATGGGTACCCAAGACTTTGCTGACAGGATTTTAGCGCTGTTCAAATATTTGTTCTTTAGGGTATGCCATGGTCTTCTGACATCAAGAGAAGTAAGTTAAATATGTGGGGTTTGACATATTGCTACTTACTGGAGGAAAGCTATCAAGAAACACTACACTTGGCAATAATGAAGTATGCTTTTAGAACGAACTATGCTGCTACTGACTTGTGTATTTATAAATAAAAGAATGATCCAATGAAGAATC